TACTGTTTCCTAAACTAAGTTTGGATGCTTCAGTGATGGCCCCAATACGAAACGAGTGTGGCAAGAACTTTAACTGGTCTGGGCCCAGAGATGTCAAGCATGTTTAAAAAATGCTCACAAACTGAAATTGTGTCAATGGAAAACCATTTGCATGAATGAACAAAAAATTGTCAAGCTTAGGACGATTTATCAAATATTGCTTCATTAGACTAGGCAAATATCTGAACCACTATAAGCATTCACACTTATAATATACCCTTTACCTAACTGATCTGTCTTAGACCTTTTTAATAATATTTTCAATTTATCAATACCCATTGATATATCCTGAAATTTAAAACAGGATCTACATGTCTTTCTGACTGGTAACATTTCATATATACGGCATGCATCGAAAAAAGGCCAAAGTAAAAACTGTTTGAAATAAATTGGCTTCATAGGGAGAAAAGCACATGGAACACGTTGCATTACATAAATCAGCTAATATGACAGAAGTAATTGGCCGTTGACTATCCACTGCAAAATGTACTTTTTTTTATAGCCTTTTAAAGCTTGCTTTACTGAGAAAAAACTATTGCCAGAAGGTAAGTTATGTAATTTTAGAAAAAAAGAAACTTCTGCCATCAGTTTGTTAATGTGTGACTAAAAGTATTGTTTATCCATTAAATGGTCTAGAAATGATAGAACTAAATGCTCTGAAATAGATAAAGTAACTTTGGTTCTGAGAATTCACAAAGGTCTGCCATAATAACCAAGTTTGACAATAATTTGACCATATCGAAGGTGCCACCAAATGTTTAATAGAATCAAATACTTTATTCAATTCAGCTTCCAAAGATGCTGTGGACAAACTGCTCCCTGTCTGTCCTCCTCAGATAGTAACGAATGAAAATGCAGCATCTGTGAACGCGAGAGAGAGTCTGCCAAAATGTTGTCCTTACCTGAGATGTAAGGAGGCTTTTATCCATATATTTAACAATAACCACTGAAAAACTAAGTGTCTGATTAGAGTTATTACTGGAGGTGACTGACGATAAACACTTAATGGCATATAATACACCTTTATTATCTGTTCTAAAAATAATTCTTCTGTTTCTAAATTTTTCACCCCATATTTCCAGTGCCACCAAAATGGGGAATAGCTCCAGCAAAACTATATTCTTCAAATAAATCTTTCTTTTCCACCTATCATGCCAAGCGCCTGCACACCAATGTTTTCCCCAAACTTCAGCAAAGCCTATTTAACTTGCTGCATCTGTGGAAAGGCAAAATTCTTTATCTAGAATGAATTTATGTTGCCTAACGATTTACCATTAACGTAAATAAGGAATTTCTGCCATACTAACATATCCTCCCTGAGTTCAGCAGTAATTCGAATATGTGAGAACTGAGATTCTGCAATGGATTATTATTATTATACAGGATTTATATAGCGCCAATACTTTGCTCAGCGCTTTACAATATAAAGGGAGACAATACAGCAACAATACAGTTCAATACAAGAGGGATAGGAGGGCCCTGCTCCTTGGAGCTTACAATCTAAAAGGAAGGGGCTGGTGGTACAAAAGGCAATAACTGTGGGGGTTGGACTGGTAGAAGGAATAGAAGATTCCATTATTAGCTGAAGACAGGATAAGCTTCCCTGAAGAGGTTTTCAGAGATCGCCTAAAAGTGGGAAGAGTAGGCGATAGTCTGATAGATTAGGGTAGAGAGTTCCAGAAGATGGGGGAGGCTCTGGAGAAGTTCTGGAGATGAGCATGAGAGGAGGAGACAAGAGAGCTAGAGAGCAGGAGGTCGTGGGAGGAACAGAGAGGATGGTTTGGGTGATATTTGATGAAAAGATTTGTGATGTAATTTGGGCAGAGTTATTAATGGTTTTATATGTGATTGTTAATGTTTTGAATTTTATTCGTTGGGCAATGGGAAGGCAGTGGAGGGATTGGCAGAGAGGGGTGGCAGATATGGAACGGTTAGTAAGGTGGATGAGTCTGGCAGCAGCATTCATGATAGACTGAAGAGGGGATAGTCGGCAATTAGTTAGGCCAATGAGGAGGGAGTTACAATAGTCAAGAATATCAATGGATAAATACAAACGCCTTGAAAATATCCTACCTACAGACATAACTCTGCTGGCAAAAGCTAACAGATCTAAAAGTGATTGCATTTCTTTTAATGTAGCTTTTTTTTCCCCGATGACTGCAGTGAGCAGATCCTGTAATTTTTTTACCTTAACTTCAAGTAAGCTAAATTCCATAGAAATTGTATTAATGTTAATGCCTAAAAATCAATACAAGTTATCGGGTATACTGTTTTTTCATGGGCTAGAGCAACCTTTCTCACCCTGGGGTGCCTTAAGGTTTCTTCAGGGGTGCCTTGGCAACATGTCTAAAAATTTACCAAAACTTTTATACAAGTCAGCGGGTGGAATAAGCCTGCCTTTTAGTTACCCAAAGTCACAGGTTTTCATTGCACCACCAATAGATCTTCTAGCTGCTGGTGTTCTGACAACCAATGACATCATCATTTGATAAGGCGGATGTCAGCTGCGTGCACAGCATCCTAGTTTGACCCTCCCCTGCCCCCTCCATCAGTGCTGGGATCACATTAGCTCAGTGATGGAGAAAAACAGAGGGAGAAGAGAAACATTGGAATACTAGTCAGTACCAGTGTGCAAAAGTGTATTTGCTTTGTAAGAATAATTAATCTCTAAAGTTGGGTGTACTTGATGTGTGGATATTGCTGCATTATATAAAACTATTAGAATAGTTTTTCACATTTTAGAACGGGGTGCCTAAAGGTGGTCCATAAGTTTAAAGGGTGCCTCGGGACTGTCCATAATTTTAAAGGGTGCCTCGGCTGAAAAAAAGGTTGAGAAACACTGGGCTAGAGGGACTCCAAATTGTTAGCATACCGCACAAAATGTAGATAGCAACTCTTGACATTTTGGTGAATCCTCAGGGCCCATGAAAAGAAAATCATCTAAATAATGTATTATGCAATTAGAACAGGCCTTTTTTGATACCACCCATTCAATGAATGTAGAGAAAGCTTCAAAATAAGAGCATGACAAAAAAGAATGTATCCTCAAAACCAAATCCTAATGAATTAAGAGATTGAGGGTGGACGGGAAGTAACTGAAAAGCAGATTTTATATCTGCTTTTGCTAACAATACATTGTTACCTAAAGATCAAATTTTTTCCAAAGCCTCATCCAATGATGTGTATGATACCGAGGAGCAAACCCCCGGTATTTGATCATTCAACGAGGCTCCTATAGGAAAAGACAAATGGTGTATTAACCTATAAGAGCCCTCTTCTTTCTTAGGAATAACCCCTAAGGGCAAAATATGGAAATTTAAAAACAGTGGGCTATTAAACGGACCTGCGACTCTACATTCCTCTAATTTTTTAAACATTTTTTCTCTGACAATTTTGCTTAAATTATGTACTGATTTTAAATTCTCAGTGTTAAGAAAACTTGAGCCCTCAAAACTTGGTAGCACAAAACCAAATTTAAATCCTTCATTTAATAAATGGGCCGTCTGTTGGTCTGGGTGTTCTAGGAGCCAAGTCAACATTTTTTCCAGTTTCACTGGTGATGGAGCTTTTAAGAAAAAGCTCCCTCCCTAGTTTCTGGTTAGTTTATGCAAATTTTTTAAAACATTTAATGACAGGATGCGCTTCTGCGCAAAATGCACATTCACGTTTAATTTACACGTATTAGGTCCTTTACACTGTGAATCACTGAATGAAAAGCAAATGCCTTTTTTATAATTCATATTAGCATTGGAATTTGCAGAAACTGATTGTTTGAACGTGAATGATCTATGAGGCAAAAATCGGTTTTACCATAAACCAACGTCTTTTAACCCCAGTTAAATTAGGGTGTACTGCTATTTTTTGCCTAAAAGATTCATCGTAAAAGATCCATGAAATACCGCCAACATTTTTGTAAGCCTCTAAAGTAATGTCAATGTGTCGAAATAATCCTGTATATTTTTCCGGATACTTTTCACACATTACACTAACATAAATTTAAAAAAAAGCCTGTAACCATTTATTAAAATTTCTGGTAACTGGTCTACACCTATCCTTCTCATTTTTTCTTCTTTTTTATCACTTTTAAAAAGGAATTCTTTTGTAGATGGAAGCAGTGACAGCAAATCAATAAAATCGCTATTCCAAATTTTCTCCCTCAGACCTTGCTGACAAATGAAAACCCAATGGCAATAATGTACAAGGCATAGATTCCTTTAATGAAGTTTCAGGTATACATTGTGGTTTGTTTGTATCACTCAACTTCCTATTGACAACAGCATTAAACTCATGCACCACCTCTTTTTGCTTGCTAGCTGCATCAGTAATGCTGTGATCAGACCACACAAGTGCAGTAGAATCACTATAATTGAATGCATTAAACATAACATCATCTTCTATAGCAGACTTCTTTAACCACTTGCCCTCTTGAAGATTTACCCCCCTTCCTGACCAGGCCATTTTTTGCATTACAGCTCTGCGTTACTGTAACTGACAATTGCGCAGTCATGCAATGCTGCAGCTAAATTAAATTTACGTCCTTTTTTTCCCACAAATTGAGCTTTCTTTTGTGGTATTTGATCGCCTGTGCATTTTTTATTTTTTGTGCTATGCAAAATTTTGGGAAAAAAGTATATTGTTGACTTTTTGCTATTAAACATATCCAGTAAAAAAACTTTTAAAATCTAATTTTGTCATAAATTTACACCAAAATGTATTCTGCTACATGTCTTTGTTAAAAAAAATCCCAATACGTGTAAATTAATTGGTTTACATGAAAGTTATAACGTTTACAAATGGTGTATATACTGAGTTTTTTTTTAATTTTTAATTTTTACTAGTAATGGCAGCGATCAGCGACTTATAGCGGGACTGCGGCATACATTGTGACACTGGGGGGGAACTGACTTGGTGTCACTGACATCCCCAGTGACACCAATACAGTGATCAGTGCTAAAAAAAAGCACTGACACTGTACTAATGGCACTGGGCAGGAAGGGGTTAACACGAGGGGCAATCAAAGGGTTAACTGTGTGCAGGCAGTGTTTTACTAGGGAGCTGTGTCAGTGTGCCTCACTTAAATAACACTGCTCTGGATGGCTGTGCTGTGCACAGCCATCCAGAACAGTGTGCCTGAGCTGACAGGGAGAAGAACTGTTAGTAAACAAAACAGTCCTCCTCCCTGTCAGAGATCTTCGGAAACCACTAGGCACTGGCAGGTAGTTACTAGCTGGGACCGGGTGAATGCCAGTCACGACTGTGAATGGCGGCGCAGGGAGAGCGTGCGCGTGACTTGTGTGCGCCCCCTACCCGGAAATGCAAAATCACGTATATATACATGATTTTGCATACCCGTGCCGCCCTGTAGCTGTATTTCTGCTATAGGGCAGGGAAGTGGTTAAATTCTTGGCTAGAGCAGATAAAGAATTAGTTAATGATCATAGTACTGACACTGTCATAACTCCATTCAATGAAGCAGGCTGCAAGGGCTGTGAAACTACTTGAGAGCACAGGTCAGGGATGCTGCAAGGTTCTTACATTACTTCCCTAGCTGAAGGATCTCCTATTCTACTGATTGGCGATCTGCTTCTTGTTGGGGACCCATGTACATTGCTGCCAGCCCCAAAGTTTCTGATCGGCATCCTTGGTTGCCATGGGGGCTCAGCAGCGGTGATAGGTGCGGTGGATGAGTCTTCTTGTGTTGATCCCGATGGTGGAAAGTCCAGGCACTTCCTCAGCCATTCTTCAGCCCCTTCCTCGCTGGCTCTCTCCAGGATCTTCCGCAGCAACGTCTTCATGCTCGGATTGACACCCCTTGAGCTCAGTTCTCTGCAAGAGAGAGCTATAGAGCTCACCGGATGGTGTACCCAAATGCAACAGGCACCCTGGGAGGTTCTGACAGGTCTTATATAGGGGTTCTCAACCTTCTAAAAACTTCTTAAAGGTCACCTGATCCACTCCTGGCCTATAAGGCCTGTCATGTATTTTTCCTATAGTCTATGTGAATTCCATAGTGACCTATAGGAAAAGGTCATTATTCCATGACTTTTTCCTAACCTTTACAGTTTACAACATTGCAGCTGTGAGGGGAGCCTTGAAACTGGCTATTCCCTTTCCCTTGCATTCCCTATAAAGTCCAAAACACGTGTAACGTGAGATATTTGCATTTACTGCACACAAAAAATATTCACATTTTCATTGAAAATGTACCACATGCAATGTCACATGTGTGCAAGGCCTAACTGTTGGACAGTTATTATTTCTTCCCACAGTAGGACAGTACAAAGAGCAATGATAAATATTTACAGCTCATCTGGGAATTATTCATTAAAATGTGGTCAGGGCTTTCTTTTGACAAATCCAATGCAATTAGAACAAGGCACTTTACTGATGAAAAATATCTGATAGTTCAATGTGTGTTGGTATGACTGAGGTGAAAGGACATAATGGACTTGGCTTGTTCCTCTTCTGGCACCCAAGTCTTGGCTCTAAAATAAAAGCTGTTGCTGCAATCGTTTTTCCAACAATAAGGAATAATTATAGAACAATGAAGTCATGTGTGCTGTCAAGAGGAAGTTGGCAAATTGTTTTTAAAAATCTGTTCATCATCACAGAAAAATAGATAAAGAAATACTGTTGTTTATGGACTAAGACAGATAGTTATTACTTATGAGAGTGTGTGTATTTGAACTTGCTTGAGGTAAATACTGATCACTTATATGTAGTACTAGTACTAATGACAGAAGGGCCAGATGTATTTTCCTTTCCCCAAGACAGGGGTGTCAAAGTGGTGGCCCCCCAGCTGTTATGAAACTAGTTTCATCATGTCTCTGCCTTTGGGAGTCATGCTTGTAACTGTCAGTCTTGCAATGCCTCATGGGACTTGTAGTTTGGCAACAGCTGGAGGGCCGCCAGTTTGACGTCTGTGCCCTAAGCCAATGTGTTGTGTTGCTGTTGTCCATGCCGCAGTCCAGTAGACTGGCTAGCCTCAGAACACTTATTGCTGATGACTAGAAGTGTAAGCAAACTGGTGTCCTAGTTAGTTTGCTTATAAGACCCTGAGTGGGTGAACTATCCTTAGTACAGTTGTGCTCAAAAGTTTGCATACCCTGGCAGAAATTGTGATATTTTGGCATTGATATTGAAAATATAACTGATCATACCAAAAACTGTCTTTTATTTAAGGACAGTGGTCATAAGAAGCCATTTATTATCACATAGTTGTTTGTCACCTTTTTAAACCATAATGGTAACAGAAATCACCCAAATGGCCCTGATCAAAGGTTTACATATACTGGAATGTTTGGCCTTGGCACAGACGCACAAGGTGACACACACGGGTTAAAATGGCAATTAAAGGTTAATTTCCCACATCTGTGACTTTTTAAAGTGAAATTAGTCTGTATATAAATAGTCAATGAGGTTGTTAGTTCTCACGTGGATACACTGAGCAGGCTAGAGTCAAAAAACATGCATAACAAGGTAATGGAACTTTATAAAGATGGAAAAGAATATAAAAAGATATCCAAAGCCTTGAATATGCCAGTCAGTACTGTTCAATCACTTATTAAGAAGTGGAAAATTCAGGGATCTCTTGATACCAAGCAAAGGTCAGGTAGACCAAGAAATATTAAAGCCACAACTTTCAAAAGATATGTTCAAGATACAAAGAAAAACCCACAGGCAACCTCATGAGAAATACAGGCTGCTCTGGAAAACGATGGTGTGGTTGTTTCAAGGAGGACAATACAATGATACTTGAACACAAATTAACTGCATGGTCAAGCTTCCAGAAAGAAGCTGCGCCAATGCCACAAAAAAGCCCAGTGGGCCGTGTCAAAGTGTTGTTGGACCTATCGCAACCAGGGTTTTTTGTAGCATTGGTGCCAATGCCCTAAAAAAGCCCGGGGCGGCATGTCAAAGTGTTGTTGGGCATATTGTAAGCTGGATTTTTTTTGTGGCATTGGCACAATAAAGGCTTCTGGGAACTAGAGCATACAGCTCATTTTTGTTCAAGTATCATTGTGTTGTCCTCCTTTAAAACAACCACACCATATTTTGCTAGAGCAGCCTGCATTTCTCCTGAGGTTATCTGTGGGTTTTTGCTTTGTATCTTGAACAATTCTTCTGGAAGTTATGGCTTAAATATTTCTTGGTTTACTTGACCTTGGCTTACTTACCATCTCCTGATTTTTTTTATCATTATTATCAAAAGAAAACTAGCCCAAAATGGTAAAACAAATCTTTTTTTTTTTTTTACGTTTAGCTGTATATTTCTTGCAACTACCATAACCTACCACCAAAGAACAACCCAAAATAAATTATCCTGCTCAATACGATCGCAGTGATACCACATATGTGTATGATAAAAATAATGTAACTGCTCTGAGTGCCCCAAAAAAATCCAAACAAATGGTGAACCATAAAATGAAATAAACAGTGAAAAAAAAATTAGGCCGCACTCAAAAATACCAATTCAAATACTCAGTAAGTGATATCCAGTTTTTGGTGTGCTACTGGCAAAAAATATATTTATAGTGAGTCACTTAGAATTTAAATGTGCTCCTACCAATAATATTGTTAAGTCAAAATGCATGAATCACCAAACAATGAAAAAGTTTCTCAATGACAAAATTCTGATTATGATGAACAGCCATGTCCACAATAATCCTCTATGTGTGTAGTGAAATAGAGACTCTCATGCCCACCACCACAAAAAACACACGGCTCCTTACAGAATAGTTAGACCCCAGATTACAGGTGGTCTAACAGAGCATGATGCTGAACATATCTTGCTTGTAACATCCTAGATGGAAAAGAGGTGTCACAGACTGCTGTGTCTCTCCTCCTCTATTCCTCCCTTCCTGCTGTGTACTCGGTCATAAAGGATAATACGCCAGATAGTGTGATAACAGACCTGATCCCCTCGACAACGTCTATTGAGACGAAACGTTGGGGCTGGATGGAAATTGTGCTGACGTCACCAATGCTTGTCTGGAGCCGGCACCAGTGGTGTTTATGACTTACATGCTTGTTTGTCTTTGAAGTTTGTAAGTGGCTTTTTATGTTTTAATAAATCATTTGTACATTATCACACTATCTGGAGTATTATCCTTTTTTCCTACCTAAAACACGCTGACACTAACTGATGGTAATACTAATTTTAAAAAAATGTTTTTTTAAATCCTGCCCACAATTTACTGACCATGACCTTTGACCCTGACCTTGACCCTTTTGACCCTAACACTAACCCTGACACTAACCTAGATCAAACCTTGAACTAAGTATTTATTCTTTATTTTTTCTTTATTATTAATATTATTATTTATTTATTTTTAACACACAGTTATGTTTTTTTTTCTCTCTGCAAGGAGAGAGAAAGATACATTGTATCTTTCTCCAACATTCAGAGAGAGAGAAAACACAGGGGCAGGCTTCACATTGACTGATCAATGTGATAGCTAATCATAGGTTATCACAGCGATCAGGTGACCTGGAAATGGGAGTTCCAGGTCCTGATTGTTAGTCCTGGTGAGACCCTGGTTTCTGGGCTGGGAGTGCAGTGCATGTCCAGCACAGGGAGATACGCATATATGCGGCCCCAAGAAAAAAAGTCCAGTCTAGTGGGGCAGCATATATTCATACTGACGGTGGGTAGGGGTTAATTTATTTGCACTACATACTGTATATATGTCTTAAGCATGCTAAGGATCCCATATTTCTTTAAAATGAACCTGAGCTGGACAAAGTGTTATATAACATAATGTTGAAGTGAAGGCAACACGTGATACTTGTATAAAAATACAACTTGTTCATTGTGTCTCAGTGGTGCTCCCTTATATTCCAGGTCCAGGCTGTACACGGGTTTTGGCTTCTGCCCCCTGCTAACACGAGTACTAGTACTAATGCTAGCAGGACCAGGTTTGAGATGAATCTCCTCTGTCTTCCAGAACGAGTACCATGAGGTTTATAGGCAATTTAAGTCATATTTTTGTTTTATCTCTATTGTATCCCTTACTGGCTTCATGTAACTGAACCTGCACTACTCAATATTCAAACAACTGAGCCACCACATAATATCAGGTTTTGTTAACTGTCTTTGCTTTACATCTCCAGAAGTCCATGTAGTGAAATGTGAACTTCGCAATCTGTCATTAAATCATTTGGTTGAGTAGACTTGTTTCTCGTGTCACCAGGTCTGTGTATGTTCTGCACAGGCAGATGGTCCTGGACGCACACAGGAGTCTTTATGTTGTAAGCAGACTTTGGAATTACAGGGTAAATGTGATGAGGATCACCGTGTTAATCTGGCAAGCAGATCTTCCAAAAACAAAACAAAGACACAGATAAGCAGCTATTCTTGTGGCGTATTTATTGCTGAACTTTGTGTTTTGCCTGAAGTTTTTCCAACACTCATGAGTGTAAATATTTATACTGTTTTCAGAAACACATACTCCTATGTACACATAACATAACATTCCACTGTCACACTGCTTTTCTTCAGTTTATTTATATACATATAGTATAATAACGGGGCAGCTGGCTTTTTATAAGGTAGGCATCAATGGTACATACAGCCAGTTTTAAGAAGCACAGATGTGTAAAGCCAAAGCATAGTGTCTATTTTGCAAATATAGCTTCCATTTATTGGGGATTACCATAGTGTTAGACACGTGCACTGTAGAAGAATACAAATATACAGCACCTTAGTGTCTTTGGGGCAAAGGGTATGTAAGCTCTCTGTGAATATCTGATCATTACAATCATCACTAACTGGTAAAGTAGCATCTTGATAGTGACATACCATAAGGTATGTACTAATTGGCCATCAAAGATTTTGCAAGTGGACTTCTGCAGTAGACTGTTTTGGTGCATTTCTCTTCCCGGAGGAGTCAAAGCCCAGAAATGGCAAATGCTTTGCATGACCCTAGTGCATGAATGTTTTATTCATATGTACATATTTTTTCTCATATACGGTTTTTGGATGAAATTAGCATCTTGTACATGCTTTGCTCTCTCTTGTTGGTTCTACCATAAAGTAAGAGAAAATATCTTATTATATCATCTGTTATTTATGCTTATTACTAATAGCCGCAATAGCACACAATGCCAGGCTGCAGTTAGAAAAGCCAGCAGATTGCTATCATGAATTAAAAATGTTATTTACTGAAAGTGGTTGTAAACCTCAGACATGAAATACTGTATGAACAAATCATATCCCTCTATATCAGTGGTCTCCAAACTGTGGCTCTTTGCTTGCTTTTATCTGGCCCTTAGGGCACTATTTTATCCACTGATGCCAATTAATTCCTCCAATGATACCACGATGGGGCACAATTCCCATCAATGACACCAAAAATTGGGCACAGTTTATCCCAATGGATACTAAGAATGGGACCCAATGACACCAATGATGGGGCACAATTTCTCCCAATGACACCAAAGATGGGCATTGTTTACTCCCGCTGATACGGGGGACATTTTCCGGTCCGGCCCTCCTAAATTCTGTAGGACAGTAAACTGGCCCTTTGTTTAGAAAGTTTGGAGACCCCTGCTCTATAGTGTATGTTTGTCAGCATTAATAACTTTTGACATGCTTCCTTGACACCCAGAGAAAAATGGTGATGGGGAGGACCCTTTAGCAGATTCACAGCCTCAGTTCTGTTCCTGTGAGCTGTGTGGAGGGGGGAGTGTCCCATTCCTCCAATCAGCTTTGAGAGTTCTCACTGAGCTCTACGGAGTATAATTTCAGCTGTCCACCCCGTGCTTTCTGAACTCTTAGACAAGCTTTATAAATTCTAGACTGTTTATAGATGTAGAGAAGATAAGACTGTAGATAACAGGTACAACTTATGTAGGAGGATGTGTGTTTAATCTTTTGTGTATCACCTGAGGCTAGCCACCACTGTAAGGGTTTACAGCCACTTTAAGAGATAAAACTTTAATTCCACCACTTTACAAAATACTGGTTCAGCCTCATCTTGAACATGTGGTTCAGTTTTGGCCACTAATTGCAACTGGACAGATTTAGAGAAGGGCAATTAATTTAGTAAGGGAATGAAGGACCTAGACTATGGGGAAAGATTACAGAAATTAAATGTATTCTCCTTGGGAAAAAGGTGCTTATTTGGGATATGATTGCAATATTGGGAATTAACTGTTTAATCTAAGCACTCTGAAAAAGACTCTTGGTCTCAGCATGAAGTTGGACTAAGTGGTTTATTCTTAAACTGCATAAGTGATTCTTACTGTCAGAGCAGGTACAAATCTGGAACTCCCATCAGTGAGAGCATAGCCTACTTAAAAAAAAAAAAAACTTGTAGATGAATTTCTCAGTGATCACAATATACATGGATAAGGGGAATATGAAGTGGTATGTAAACACACATACAGTTTGAAATAAATGAACTGTCTTTTAGTAAATTATTAAACCTTACCAGCTTTGTAACTATATAACTGCAGTATATGTAATTCCTTCAATTAAATCTTTATTACCAGCACTATTTGGAAGTCTTTTATTGCTTTATATTCCTTGTAGTCAGTTCCCAATATGTACAAATATATCACCATAAAACTTTTATTTCCAAAGCAGTTAAAAAGAAGTAGCAACTTGTTGAAGCTCGACTTGGTCTCCACATCAATATGTACAACCAACATGCTCTGTTATTAGAGGGTTCTCAGAGTTGGCATGAAACTATTTCAAGAGTGGTGCTTTTACTGGGTTATGTTGGTGTAGTGACTTTTTTCATAGGGTTACATTTAAAGCAAAGCTGTGATCTATGTGAGGAACAAATAAACTCATCTGTCTACCAAATTTAATTGAAATACAGCTTTAGGTCCTATATTCAGCAGCAAACTTCAAATTCTGCTAAATTTTGGTTTCTGCTTTGTTTTCATCATATTGCTGTGATGTTTTAACTCTTGTAGATAAAGAAAGACAGACCTGCCTTTTCCTCAAAAATAATATTAAGTGAATTTCGAAGGACCTGCAGAGAAAGAAGTAGATGAAAGGGTCCAGACATGCATTTAAAGATGAAAGAATAATGTGCTCTCTTTAACGTAGAACAGAGTATTCTGTGCTGAACACATGAACACATCCCGTGTCTGACTTATTGTGTAAGGGATCCGAGCAAAGTGGTATGGGACAAAACATACAAAGAATATACCAATAATAATAAAAACTTTAACATTCACTCTTTTTCTGGATTTTGATGGTTCCCTTCGTGTTTCTTTTAAAGGACTGGAACAGCTTTCTGGTTATAAGAAGGTAGCAGACCACTATGACAGCGAGAGTAATCCAAAAAATAATCTGACATATGAAGCTCACGGTTTCATGCCAAATGCGGCCAAAATCAGACTTGAGGTTTATACAGTTCCTCACATTCTTTTGTGTCATTGGCTTGTTGGTTAAAATCATATTCGGTAATGAGAGCGAAAACATTATTATCCATATTGCAGCCGACAAGATCTTGGCAGAACGTGGGTTTGTTGTACAGGAGTTACTGAACGGCCTTGCAGTTTTTTTATATCGGTCTATAGTTATTAGACCAAGGAAAATGATGCTGATATACATTGTAAAGTAGAACACCACTGAGCTGTAGCGACAAGCAAACCCCTTTACAGGCCAGAGTCTGAGTCCAGCATCACCAAGAATCTTGAATGGGAATGTCATAATCATCAAAGAATCAGAAATCACAGAGTTTTTTAGAAAAATTATGAAGTTTGATTTACTTGGTAACTGAAAAAACACAACAATTGCCAAACCATTCATTATCATCCCAGCAACGAAGAGAATTGAATAAAGAACCGGAAAGAGGACTTGGTTGACACGGTTGTCTCTAGAACAATTAACATTTTTAGCTAAATGTGTAAGATTGTGTAGTTTAAAGTCTATTATGAGTTCTCCGAATCCTGCAATAGAAAGAAAACGGTTGTTCAGTTAAACAGCCCATGCATGACCAACATAGCGTAATCCCATGATATGCAGTACGGTTGGAGCACAATACTATTCCTTAATATAGAATAATTACTAGATTTCTTTGCTTTTAATGTTTTATTCTTCATGTTTAATTGAGAGCTAGAAAGTTTGTCAGATAATAAAGAATTGGACAGAATTTGCAGCAAAAGAAAAACTTTATACATTGCTGGTATACCAGTCTTCAAAGCCTAAATTCGGGTGTGGCATACAAAGGTATTTGTAATGTAGGCCATTGAATATTGATGTGCAGTTCAAGTTGCCAGTGACTTTCATTAAAATCTAAATACATGGTGAAAGCAAATGTACATTTTGCAGAATGTAGATTATGCTTCTGCATCATCATGAAACCATTGGACAGGGGATAGATCACGGCTATTAAAAATAATGGTAGAATGTTTGAAAACATGTGCCATGGTAAAGGCAGGGGTATCGATAATGTTATCTATTGCCAGAGTCTCTTCTACTCTTAGTGCATACAGTGGACCTTGGCCTGCATACATGTTAATATGCAGTATTTTGTAGGTTAATGTGCATTACAGTAAGGCAGAACATTTATTTAGAGTGCAGTGGCAACAAGAGAGATAGCAATGAAGAGACGTTAGACCTGCATTATTATTGCAGCACACCACAACTTGCTGTATGTGTGCAGCAATGCAGGTGTTGGTGCCTAGGGGGTAGTTACTAAAACTGGAGAGTAAAAAAATCTGGTGCAGCTATGCATAGAAACCAATCAGCTTCCAGCTTTTATTGCCAAAGCTTAATTGTACAAGCTGAAGTTAGAAGCTGATTGGCTACCATGGACAGCTGCACCAGATTCTAAGTGCACCAGTTTTAGTAAATCTCTCCTCTACTGTAATTGTGTGTTGGGATCCTGTTCTAAATAAATGGCATGGAGCACACCACAGCACAATATACACTGTATGCTCAACATGTAGGTTTGTAGGGGACTCGAGAAAAAAAATTAGCACTGAATGAGTAAAGGCTGTACCTTGTGATTGTTTAAAAAAATATTTGTGATATTATGTCTTGTCAGTTGGAGAAACATTTCTACACTGCTCAAAAAAAATTAAAGGAACACTTTTTAATCAGAATATAGCATCAAGTCAATTAAACTCCTGGGATATTGATCTGGTCAGTTAAGTATCAGTGGGGTTGTTAATCAGTTTTAACAATGTGTGCACTATATGGGCAACAATGAGTCAAACCCAAAACAGGAATGGTTTTACAGGTGGAGGCCACTGACATGCTTTCCCCTACTCATCTTTTGTTTTTCACAAGGTTTGCATTTGGCTAGGGTCAGTGTCACTACTGGTAGCATGGGGCAATACGTGGAACATACAGAGGTTGCATAGGCAGTCCAACTCCTCCAGGATGGCACTTCAATGTGTGCCATTGCCAGAAGGTTTGCTGTGTCTCCCAGCACAGTCTCAAGAGTATGGAGGAGATTCCAGGAGACAGGTAGTTATTCTAGGAGAGCTGGACAGGGCTGTAGAAGGTCCTTAACCCATCAGCAGGACTGGTATCTGCTCCTTTGTGCAAGGAGGAACAGGACAAGCACTGCCAGAGCCCTACAAAATGATCTCCAGCAGGCCACTGGTGTGAATGTCTCTGACCAAACAATCAGAAGCAAACTTCATGAGGGTGGCTTGAGGGCCCGCTATCCTCTAGTGGGCCCTGTGCTCACTGCCCGTCACCATAAAGCTCGACTGGCATTTGCCATTCAATACCAGAATTGGCAGGTCTGCCACTGGCACCCTGTGCTTTTCATAGATGAGAGCCGGTTTACCCTGAGTACATGTGACAGATCTGAAAGGGTCTGGAGAAGCTGTGGAGAATGTTATGCTGCCTGTAACATCGTTCAGCATGACCATTTTGGTGATGGGTCAGTTGAGGTCTAGGGAGGCATATCCATGGAGGGACGCACAGATCTCTACAAGCTAGACAGTGGCACCCTGACTGCCATTAGTTATCGGGATGAAATCCTTGGACCCATTGTCAGACCCTACGCTGGTGCAGTGGGTCCTGGGTTCCTCCTGCTGCACGACAATACCAGGCCTCATGTGGTGAGAGTATGCAGGCCGTTCCTGGAGGTGAAGAATTGATAACGTTGAATGACCCCCACGCTCGCTTTACCTAAATCCAATAGAACACCTCTGGGATATCATTTTTCGGTCCATCCAATGCTACCAGGTTGCACCTCAGACTGTCCAGAAGCTCAATGATGCTCTGGTCCAGGTCTGGGAAGAAATACCCCAGGACACCATCAGTCGTCTCATTAGGAGCATGGCTGACATTGTCAGGCATGCATACAAGCATGTGGGGGCCATACAAACTACTGAGTACCATTTTGAGTTGCTGCAATGAAATTTCATCAAAATGGACTAGCCTCCTGCATAATTTTTTCACTTTGATTTTCGGGGTGTCTTTGAATTCAGTCCTCTGTAGGTTGATCATTTTCATTTCCATCAAATGATGGGGCATCCTTACTTTTACCCAGTCCATATCAGTATAGATATCCAGCATGATATTTTTCCCCATTGAGAACTGAATTGTTTTCAAAGTGTTCCTTTAATTTTTTTAAGCAGTGTATATGTAAAGAAAAAAGTATTTGTGGGATTGTGGTCACAGCTTGTCAAAATGAAAATAGGAAAGTAAATATTAATGCTTACCAACTTGTAACCAGACTGAGCTCTGAGAAACTAAGCTTATGTTTTAGATCTTTTCATGATATTTTACCCTCATATTTTATAACTATTTCATGTGCTGCATGAGTCATTATAATAGCAACACTAGGCTCATATGCAGTGGTGTTTGTTAGTTGGGTTAGTGTTGCATCTAAACTGAAGTATACACATCAAAAAAATAAAAGTAGGTTCTTTTCTATGTTGCTGGACTATTTATCCATTTACCATGTTTGTACTATTGTGTGCTTCTGCCTGAGATTGTTAGAAGATTCTTCTAATTTTATATAACCTTTTAGTGAAGTTTTATATGAATGTGTAATACACAATTACACATGAATATACCATTCCCCTCAATCCGTAACCTATGTCTTTTGCTTTACTGGTACCATTCCTTACCCATACTGCGGTTTTCTCCCTTCTCCCCTACCATGGAGCCATATGCCTCTCCATCCTCCCTCCCCATTCCCCCCCCCCCCCCTCTTGTTAGACCTCAATTGCCATTTGATAGTCACCTTTGTTAGTGATGCCTGACCTTTTATTATTGGGTATCTTTACTGTGCAATTACTGTACACCTTCAATGACCCATATTCTTACTTATTATTTTGTATTGTTTCATGTTAAAACAATAAAATATTTGAACAAGAATATACCATTCCCAGTTAAAAAAAAATGAATCTGTTCAGTTAGTCATCTGTTTGAGCCCTAATTTTTGTTTTTGGAAAGTGAAGACCTATAAGATAAAAATCAATGTATAAAAACCCCACAACAAATAATCAGGAATTTATCTATATTTACACAGATTAGTCTTGGTTCACACTACTGTGACCTGAAAGTTGCGTGACTTACAGTGCGACTTTGTTGAAGCAACTTTGAAGCAACTCTGAGTCACCGGTCACACTGCTGCGTTTCCAAATCATGCAAATTGTGTGCAATTTCAGTGCGATTTCAGAAGACTTTATTGCTACTTCTAAAGATTTTCAACTATTTCTTGCAATTCGCAGTGCAATTTATTCTATGTATGTGAAATTACAACAAAACTGCAGAAAAAGTAATGCAAGGACTACTTTAGAAATCACGCTTTAGAAAATAGTACATGTTAAGACACTGACATTTACATTCATTAGATGTGATTTCAGGTGCGATTTCATTTCGCAAATCACACATGAAATCGCTCCGGTGTGACCATGCACTGAAGCAGCTCTGAAACAACTCTGAAGCAACTTTCAGGGAATGCCTGGGTAATCTTTCTGTAATGTAGGATCTAAATCACATTTTTATAGAGAATCCGATTTGGAGGCAACTTCCATTAAAGTCTATGGGCACAAGTCGGATACAAATCGCCTTGAAGTAGTACAAGAACCTTTTTTAAAGTCTGAGCGACTTCAGTAGTGTTAATTAAGACAGCGCTCATTGACTAACATTTCACATGTCATGTGACTTGGGGACTTACAAGTCGGATCCCAAGTCGTGGCAGTGTGAACCCAGCCTAAACCTGTATTGTGTGGCACAGATTTGTACATTATTGCACTTGTGGTAATTAAATAGACACATCTGTGATTTACAATCACTGAAATACTATTGATGTGATTCATACAACGTATTTTTGGTTCATATGTGCTACTACTTTGAATACCAGTAACACTATTTAATGGGCTTGTTTGCATGAAAAACATTCTTATTCTGTAAAAATTTGCAACTTTAGCTGTTACAAAATGAAAGTCCTATTCATATATTGGTACAAAAAAAAATATGGCCAAAGCCCTTCTGCTATTTTATGAAAAAAAACAAATACAACAGAGTTTTGGTGTAAACTGACTTCATACAATAATTCTAAGTACAGCATATATTGTTATTATGATAAAGAAGGATGATGTGTTATAACAAATAGGTACCTAACGTACAAACATTAAGCAAGGTTGCAGCAGCTTCTAAGAACTAAGTTTGCAAGTAAGTAATATATTACCTGAATATTCCATGGTTCAATTACTTGCCACTCGTGTTTGTAGAGTAGCAGATAAATTGGTCAGAAATCTAGCATCATCCCATGCATTTGCATTCAGAGATCTACAAGATACAGCTTTTTTTCTTTTAATATTCCCATGAAATGATCCACATCTCGGAGTTTAGGCAGTAGGAGTATAGAGCTACTAACTTGTACTATTCAGAATACTTCAACTCTTTAATTATACCGGATGCTTTTTTCAGTTTCTCTTCTTTAATAGGACATTAATACTTCTGCTTTTTCTTTTTCTGAA